CTTTTGTAAGATTGCAGTTCAACCTGTTTTAGTGCCTCTCTGAACGAGTCAGGGTCCTTGTTGTATTCCAATTCGATTTGTTCCCTGACTATGTCCAGGTCCCACAACAGATCTTCTCTTGCCTTCTCTTCCGTGATCACCCGTGAGTCTGTGATTGGGGCGACGTTGATTTTCGTCGGATTGCCCTTTACTTTCCCCGTGGCTTTTTTTTGCCATTTGCTGTCTGCAGGGGGAAAAATGTCCGTTTTTTTGGTGGATGGGGTCTGATCAGCAAAATGCCAGACCCAGTCCGACTCGTCTAGGTTGTCGTCAAAAACCCATCCGTCGTAACTGGAGTCCACCACGAACCAGATTCCCGGAGCGTCTTCTACTTCCACGAGCATGTTTGGCAAGAGTTTCCTTTCTTTTGTTTGTTTTGGGAACTTTGGGCAGTTGTGATCTGTTCCCAGGTGACCCCGTTCTCGACAGCGGAAGCAGATGGGAGAGGTTTTTGTTGACATTCTTACCTCAATCATTCTGCTTTCAATTTGGAGTTTCCAAGTTGAAGGGGAAACTGGTGGGTCGTCCGTCGGCACATCCAAGATTGTTGTCATGGACCCACAATGTGGGGCCAAGAAATCAGGTTGTGGTAGGATCCATTTCAAGACCCTGTTTGCTGTGTATTGTCTCTCGAGCCTGTCAACCAGCACGCCGTGAAATCCTGGTTGTATGTTGTCGAATTGGACCCAGAAATTTTCCTTCAGCAAGGTTTGTTTGTAGGAGACTGCAAAACCTGGAGTCTGTCTGGGTGCTGAGAGTTTTTTCCACCTTGTGATTGTGCAAACTGAACCGTGACAGTTTCTTGATTGCATTTCTGCTGCAAACCTTGCGTGGTCTTCAAAAACAAATAGTGCCATGATATTGTTACGTCCCACGTTTTGTAGTGAGAAGGTATCTCCAATCTGTTTGAGCCTCGGTTCTTTTTTGATTGTTTCAATAACCCACTTCCTTTTTTCAGTCGGCTGGAGATCTGCACCGTGGCGCGCAAAGTTGAACACCACGCCGTGTTTTTCATGCAGCTCGTCCAGCTCAGCGATCTTCTCCTCTGGGTATTTCCACACGACCACTTCTTCTTCTTCCCCASCCACTGATTGTTTTTCCRTAGATTYTATTCCTTGGACTTTCGTCTTTTCAATCAGGAATTTCARGGCCTCGTTGTCTATGACGCAKGTTTTCTTCTCTGCCGAATTCTGTCCATTGGAGGTTCCTGTGGGTGACAGATTMTCCATGATTYGTGAACCCGGTAGTTGAGAGAAGAACARCGRTRGTGATTGAAGGGAGTCGTGAACAGTACARACAATTGTGGTTGGTTGAGGACTCTGTATGAGTGACRATCACAAGWRAGCACCAAGAGGAGTGCTATGGTATAGACYGCTATCTCAAGAGTGCTGAGTACTGGKTGCTGAGGCCAGGCTTCTTCTCTCTGTTGGGAGTCTTGGGATCAGTGGGTGTAGCATGAGTGTGAGGAGGGGGATGAGATTTCACATTCCTTCCCRGGGTRATTAGTGCAGTGAGAATGGAAACCAGAAGGACRGTGGGGACTTCGCCCCCCGGCGGRGGCTTATGGGAATCGTGTGGGATGAATTCAGGAAAAATGGGCARGGCTTCGCCTCCCMACCTGGGGATCGTGTAATCGGCACGAACGACGTGGGATCAGAAGATGGACAGGCAGAGCTTCGTCTCCCCACCTGGGMGATCGYGGGGTCGTCMTMAGGAGGATAGGRCTCYGCCWCCCCKCCTGGGGATTATAGAATCAATTATGGGAAAAATTCAAAAAATTGGASAGAGYTTCGCCTCCCCACCTGGRGGATCGTGTGATTAGCRCGGACGGCGTGGGATGAGAGKATAGACAGGCAGAGCTTCGCCTCCCCACCTGGGGATYGTGGGGTCATCCTAAGGAAGACAGGGCTTTGCCTCCCCGCCTARGGATTATAGGCTCTGATRTKGAACAAATTCAGAAAAAATTGGACAGGGATTYGCCTCCCCACCTGGGGAACGTGTGATCAGSGCAAAAGAATTTGGGAATAATAAAYGGATGAACTGGGCTTCGCCTCCAGAAAAGATTGGACAGGGATTYGCCTCCCCACCTGGGGAACGTGTGATCAGCGYGAGACAACGTGAGAGCAGCGCACGAAAGTCGGATACACAGGCGGCAAAACTTTGCGAGGCTTCGTCAATTCGTAAACTCAAGGGCAGAGGAGTGATGATKCGACYGTAGCAGCAGAAGTGATCATTCTCATCGGAAACCACGTTTAAATGAGGATTGGAGTAAGAAAAGTAATAATTATAATAATAAATAATAATAAGTTGAAGCAGAAGTGGTCGTACTCAAGACAAGCCAAGTTTAAAATGAGGATTAGAATAATAAATGTAATAATTATTGATAATAACTAATAATAGGTTAAAGAATAACAGTAAAAAGAATAAGAAAGCCTCCAGATTTCCAGACCAGAATTGTGTGTGAGCGTTGAAGATGTTGGGGGAGGAGGAAGAGGTGGAGGAGGTGGGAAGAGGAATGGATGGCTGTGGTAGGGGCGTTGGTATAGCGGGATCTTAAGGGAGGTGGGATATGTGGTTGGGGAGAGAGGAGGGGGTGGGGGCGG